CTCTGTGCCTGCGTATGCAAATTAACCGCCATCTTTGTTGGGTTAATTTGCATAGTCACTCTGATTACCTGGTGGGCATAGCGGAGTGACACCAATTTGCATGTTTCTCTTTTATTAGTGTAGATTATTATGTTATTTAGCAAAAAATTATACATTTACTTTTGCTTCAGTCTTCTTATATTTAGTCCCAAAGCACTTGTATAAGCAAGCAACTCCCCAAAACTATAAAATCTTCAAATTAAATTAGGAATATTTTTATAAGGTAACTAACAGAACTGTATTTCTATTTCTAATTTTTTTTTTTTTTGCTTAATTCACTATATTCAGACCTTTCTTCCCTTTGAATTTTGGGATTCTGATGAAATAACAACTTTCAGCCACTGTTCCTACATGTGTGTGTTGTGTTCCTCTGAAACACAACAGGTTTGATGTTGTGTGCATGTTGTAGAAGAAATTGAATTTTATTCATATTTGTTTCTAATGATATTTACAATTTCACTTTTATTTTTCAGAAAACCTTCAGGAAAAATTTGGTAAGTTATTTCTGACAATCCTTTATTGGCTCTCATTGATTGCATGGCCTAAGATCCTTTGGCTCCACTTCTTAGAAATGTGGGTCAGTTTCAATTAAAGAATAAGCAATAGAAGGGTTTCAACTTATTGTTCTCTTCTCCTCCTGATGTTGTGCCTGCATTATGTTTGAATGGTTTGTTTCTTTCTTTCACTTTTTCAGATAATGTTGTATAGGATAAAGGCAAATCTCATTGATGTATTTCACTTTGCACTTACTCAATTTCATATGTTTATTTTGCATTTGTTTTCAACTCTCAATGATCATCTTTCTTACTCCACCACACACATATACATCATTTTTTGATATATTTGTACTAGTGTCCAATGCATAAAAATTCGTACAAGAATAGGCCTTCCTTCCCCTGGCTACAAGCACCATCTTCCCTCAGGCACCCGGGACCCAGGTCTTCGCTCTGGCTGCCACTTTCTACCTTCACTCCAGCCCTGCCGCCATCCTTTAACTCTGTTCACCCCCCACCCCCCCCTCTCATAGCAGGCGTCCTGCCCCACACCTGCTGCCGCTATCTTTGTCACATAAATTTGCATATTCCTTCCTTATAGACTGTGGGTGCCGCCATCTTTATTGCAGAATGATGGTCAGTTTGCATATTCAGTCTTTATTAGATAGGATGATTTCAACTTAAGTTTACCATGTTCATTTGTTACTCGGTTTCTCCCATGATTATTTCTCTGATGCTCCTGTCCTTGCAATGTATGCAAACATTTCCTTTCTGACAAAAAATTTTTAGTAATAACTTCCCTACTACATTTTGCTATTCTTAAAGTGTCTGATCTGAAAGTTTTGTCCAATATCGCTGCAGGCCATACAATGTATTAACTCCCATCCCACATCTGCCCAGCCATTACTACCATTTAATACTTTGTCTCCCTTCCCTGTGAATTTGTTATGGTAACTTTGTTCAGATATGAGTTAAAATCAGGCTCACATAAAAAAAAACAACACTTACTTTTGAACCAGTTGACAAAACATTGGGAATAGAGGTATCCATTCACCTAATCTGGCATAACCAATAGGAGCAGCAGTTCAGGATTCTATGATTCATTGTTTGTGGCAGTTTTATATGGCTAGATCCCACAATAGAAGAAGCTCCCACTATATATATTTAGCCAGAGCCAGAGATCTTATTAAAATAAAAACTTTTTCTTATGGCTGAGTACTATCTCATTGTATATAGTTACCACTTTGTCTTTATCCAATCATGATGGAGGAACACTTGGCTTGCTTCCATGTCTTGTCCACTGTGAAAAATGCTACAGTGAACATAGGAGTGCATATATCATTAGGAATAAATATTTTAAAATTTTGGGGGTAGGTATTCATAGTAGGGGTTGCTGGGTCATATGGGATCTCTATTCTTCATGCTTGAGGAACCTCCACACTGTTTTCCACAGTGGCTGTACCAGGTTACATTCCCACCAGCAGTAAATGAGGCTTCTCTTTCTCCACAACCTCTCCAACACTTGTTATTACTAGTGTTGTTGATAACAGCCACTCTAACAGGTCTGAGGTGGTGTCTCCTTGTAGGTTTAATTTGCATTTCCCTAATAGCTAGAGCAGTACAGGATCTTTTAAAATACCTGCTGGCCATTTGTATGTCTTCTTGGGAAATGAAATACTGCCATTTGCGACAGCAGGGATGGATGCTGAGCAGAAAACGTCAAGAACCATATGATTTCAATCGTAGGTGGCATATGAAACTGAAAGCACAAATGAGCACACAAGACAGGGGGTGAGGGCATGAGTGGGGGGTGGGGGAGCTATGAGGGGATAAGTACACATATGTAGTACCTTAATCAATAAAGAAAATTAAAAAAATAAATTAATTAAAAAAAATAAAACAAAACCTCACAGAGACATGAAAGCGTAGAACCTACTGAGTATTCTCAAAGGTATGGGAGGAGGATGCAGGTGGAGGGATGGGGGTGGAGGGGACAGATGGGCTGGAATGATTAACCAAAGAACTTACATGCCTATAGGCATGACCCATGGACACAGAAAATAGTGTCTTGAAAATCTGAGGGTGAAGCTGTGGAAGAGGAGTGGAGGGTGTCAATAAGGGAACAAAAAGGCCATCTGTAATGCTCTCAACAATAAAGAGTTAAAACAACAACTGATAGACACAGACAACTGGTTACTAGAGGGAAGGGGTGGGTAGTGCAGAATAAAAGAGGTGAGACATATGGCGAAGGAACAAGTTTGACTTTGGGTAGCAAGCCCACAATGTGATACGCACACAATGTATCACAGTACCGCACTATTAATACCACATCATTGTATTAACAAATGTCATCCCATTAATAAAACACTAAATAATCTTAAAGAAATCACAAAAATAATTTAAGGTAATTACCATAAATAATGTTTGTATAATTTTCTCAATTCAGAGAATCAATTCATTTTTCCCTGTTTAATTACCTCAAAAGGTAGCTTTCAGCCACTACTTGCATGTAGGCACATATGTGTGCTTTTGTGTATGTATATGTGCCTATTTGTTTTGTATCTACATGTTAAATTTAAGTTTACATGCATAGTTTTCAACATTTTTAATTTTTTATGTTTCTAATAAAATTTACATTAATTTTTCACATTTGTTTTTCAGACAAATTTCTGAAGATACAGGGTAAATTTCCCCTCATATCCCTCTTCTCCCAAACTCCTTAAAATGACTGCTTTCCTGATTTGTTTAACATCTCCTGCCTTTTTATTGATTGGACAATTCATTTCTTTGCACTCCTCCAAGATGACTACTGACCTAATGCAGATTTCCTCCAGAAAAACTGATTCTATATTGTCCAAATCAATCTATTGTTGCAACTATAATATGCAACATGGCTATTGAAAACATGAGACAGGACTACAGGCAGGTTCAAAATTAGGTGAAAGTTGTGAATAATGAGAGAATAATAATATTCTTTAAATCTTTTGTATTTATTAATTATTATATTATTTAGCATACAACTATAAATTTACCTTTGCCCCACCCTATTTACTCTGAAAGAACTTGTGAAAGATAGCAACCCCCCAAAAATAAAAAAATCTTAAAAATAAAATATGACTATTTTATAAGGTAACTAAATACTGTATTACTAACTTTTTTTTGCTTAATTCACTACATTCAGACCTTTCCTCCTTTTAATTTTGGAACAATTTTCTCTGAGCAAATGAGAGCTTTCAGCCACTGTTCCTCCGTGTGTGTTGTGTGTTCCTCTGCAACACGACAGGTGTGATTATGCATGCGAGTTTTACAATAAATTGAATTTTAGGCACATTTGTTTCTCATGATATTTACAATGTCACTTTTACTTTTCAGAAAATCTTCAGGAAAAATTTGGTAAAGTATTTCTGACATCCTTTATTGCCATGCCTTTCAAAAATAACTTGATGTTTTTAGTATTATCTGCCTTTTGCCCTCTTATGACATTCATTGGCTCACCTTTCTTTTGAAAGTCTACTCCTTTTTCCTCAATTATTTTTGTGTGTATACTTCTCACATATTAAGTTCCATCTATTTATTTTCATAATTTCCATCCTTCCTAGTTTCTTCCTTTTTCCATGTCATTTCTGTTTCCCAGAAACTTGCCATATTTACTGTGAATCATGTGAGGTGACGAGGATTGTGCTAACAGGCACAGGATTTCCACTCTATATATTCTGTCTGTAAAATACCCATTAACGTAGGACCTCTGCCATTTTTTACACGTTCAGGGGCCCATCTTAAGCAAACTTTGAGAGAAGAGTCATACTTCTAAATGTCTAGTATTCTAATCCTGAACTTTGCTTAATGATTTCTCCCACATCCTCTCCACATTGTGCTTAAAGGCCTCTGTAACCTCTGCTATCATTCATTGGTCTAATGTATATTTTATCATATTACTTAAGTCTTACCTGGTATAAAAATATTTCATGTGACCTCTCACGAAATTTTATATTTACTGATATTTATTGACACAATACTCAACTTGTCAATCTGCAATTATTTGTAAAAAAATTGTAGATTAAGTTTTTATATTGAGGAAATTTAAGTGATAAAATATCCCTCAATTCTGAACTATGTTTTAATCCTCACCTGAGGACATGCTCAGAAAGAGGATGGGGAAGAGTTAGAAAGATGCATCTGTTTGAGAGGCAACATTGATCAGTTAGTTGCCCTCCGTTTGTGCACTGACAGGGGATCTAACCAACAACCCAGTAGCTGCCCTGACCAGGAATTGAACCAGCGGTCTAGAGGTACACAGTAAGAAGCTCAACCAGCTGAGACACTCTGGCTGGGCACAGTCCTTTATTTGAATGTGAGTGACACAAGAAACCATTGTCCTTCAATATCTCCAAATGATTTTTTCATAAAATACTAATATCATCATCAAAAGTTTAATGCCCTGGCCCTGCCCATTGGTGCACAGTGGATAGAGCGTCAGCCTGGCCCCCGGGGTTGGGGTTTTGAAGAACTTGGGTTGAGTTTAGATCCCTGGCCCTGGTCCAGTGAGTGCAAGAGGCAACCAATGGATGTGTCTCTCTCATCTCTCTCAGGCGCACACGCTCTTTCTCTCTCTCTCTCCTCTCTCTCTCTCTCTCTCTCTCTCTCTCTCTCTCTTTCTCTCTCTCTCATTCCTATCTATCTCCTCCCTGCCCCTTCCTTCTACTCTCTCTAAAAATCAATGCAAAATATCCTCAGGTAAGGATTAGTAACAAAGACAAAAAATGTTTAATGTCCTCTTTTTCTAAATGATTTTTTCAGTTCTATTTTTCGTTTTCAGAGAGAATGGGATTTAGAAATATATCTCTTTAATGCACGTAGGAGCGTTCATGTAACTACTGCTACAAGCACAGGTTGGGACAAGGGGTGCCTTTTCCTTGCTCCCTCACTTTTTTAGGGAAATCTCTGTGTATGGGTGTGTGTTTGCATTTTCTTCTGGTTCAAGCTTCTCAGTTTTTGTGTTTTGGTGTATGTTATACAATAGAGCTATAGCAAAAATGGAACTGACTACATAAATTTAGTAGCAGCCAAAAACCAAATTAAACAAGCACAAAGAGTAATGAAATTCTAAATAATATTTAAAGTAGTCATGTACATTTTTAAAAGGTAACTACCAGGATTATTCCTAAATTTTTTATCCATTTAATTAAGTCACTAGTTTTCACTTTTTTTTAGTAGAATATTCTCTAGATAAAAGGGAGCAGCTGTCTGCCACTGTTGGTATCTTTATTTTGTGTGCATTGTGTATATACCTGTGCTTATCTACATACTGATATGTTTGGTATTATCTTCAAATTTTTCAAAAAATTAATTTTATGCTTGTTTTCCATGGTACTTTCACAGATATATTTTTATTTTCTGTTTTTATTTATTGATTTCTTATTTCAGAGAAGAAAGGAGACGGAGAGAGAGATAGATAGAAACCAATGATGAAAGAGAATTATTTATCAGCTGACTCGCGTCCTGCACGCCCCCTACTGGGGATTGAGCCTGCAACCCGGGCATGTGCCCTGATGGAGAATTGATCTGTCACCTCCTGGTTCATAAGTTGACACTCAACCACATAGGCACACAGGCCTGGCCACATAAATATTTTTATTTTATTTTCCAGACGATCTTCAGAAATTATTTCGTATATTTTTCTGACAACCCCACATCCAAAAACTCTTTAAATGACTTATTTCTTGGTGTCTTTGCCATTCCTGTCCTTTTCTCTATGTGCCATCTGTTGGCTTCCCCTTCTCCTGGATGTCCAATTTTCCATCCTCCATTTTTGAATATGAACGTGTTTCTTATTAACTTATCTCCATTTCTGTTTTGTCATCTTCCATCATTATTATCTCACCCTATTTGGTTCCATACCTTTCTTTCCCTACAACATTGATTTCATCTGTCTTCCAGAGACTTTCCATAGTTTCATGATAAATATTGTGAGTTGAAGGAGATTAGAAAAATAGGCACATGGTTAAAATTCATATATTTCTAGAAAATGTCTGTGAAGTTGGGACTTTTTTAAGTATTCAAGTTGACAGGGCCATTACTATGCTATCAATAATTCCCCAAATTTTATTAAATAAGAGAAGATCCAAACTTTCATTGTTCTTTCAAAGACTGTGTAAATTCAGATGTCATTCATTGCTGGAGAGTAAACTCAAGGATCATTCTTCCACTGCCTTTGATTATATAACCCAAGTTTTTGCAGTATACAAATATTTTGTATAATTTTACAGGCTTCTTTATTTTCCTTTCCCACCATAATATTTCTTCTTTTGTTTTCATTTCCATTGACACAATTACTAATTTTGCACAAAGCAATTCTTTTATGTTTGTAGAAAGTCTTTTTCTAAAATATATTTTACTGATTTTTTTACAGAGAGGAAAAAAGAGGGATAGAGAGTTAGAAACATCGATGAGAGAGAAACATCAATCAACTGCCTCCTGCACACTCCCAACTGTGGATGTGCCCACATCCAAGGTATATGCCCTAGACCGGAATCAAACCTGGGACCCTTGAGTCCACAGGCCGACGCTCTATCCACTGAGCCAAACCGGTTAGTGCTAGAAAGTCTTCATAGCTTAAGAAAAGGTCATTACTAATATTTCTCAAATACAAAATTTTATAGCATGAAAATTTATCATCCTAGGATATACCTAAAATATTTTTTTCATAAACACTAATATAATCATTAAAGGTTTCATATCCTTCTTTTCTTACTTATATTTTTCTATTTTAAATTTATTTTCAAAAGGAATGAAATTTAATAATATACCTCTTTAATTTATATGACGATAAGTACAGACACAGTCATGGACAGATGGGTGTTTTAATGTATATCTCCTCATCTCCTTTTAAGTACCATCTCCTATATGTGAGAGGGTTTGCATTTTACTTTGATAAAAGAGGAAAGCAAAATGAAACACAAATGATTGATGCAGTTTATCTCAGAAGATGTTCCAGTTTATTTATTCCCATTGTGCTATCTCCTATTTTTTATTAATTCCTTTTGCACCAAGAGGTGGGAGAATGTAAAACAATTTTGTCTCTTTGATGAACCAGAGATATAGATCAATTGGAACCACAGAGTAAACTATAAAAGGTTTTCAGATGTTTATTATGCAACTGATATTTCCCCAAACCTTAAGAAAGGAAAGTAGTCAACAAACTTGCTAAGTTTCTCTACCCATTGTCACATGTGTAAATTCTGATGTCATTCTTTGGCCAGCTGTAAACAGGAGGCTCAATCTTCCAATTCCCTTGATCATATAACCTAAGTCTTAGCCATGGTCGGCAAACTGCGGCTCGCAAGCCACATGTGGCTTTTTGGCCCCTTGAGTGTGGCTCTTCCACAAAATACCATGTGCGGGCGCTCATACAGTGTGATTGAAACTCCGTAGCCCATGCACAGAAGTCGGTTTTCGACCTGGGCGAGTCTATTTTGAAGAAGTACTGTTGATATTTGGCTCTGTTGACTAATGAGTTTGTCGACCACTGACTAAGGGATCACAATAATACAAATATTTTTCCTTTTTTATTGAATTTATTGGAGTGACACCGGTTAACACATTTATAGAGGTTTCATTAGCAAAATTCCCCAACACATCATCTGTCCACTGTATTATGTGTTCACCACCCAAGTCAAGTCTCCATCCATCACTGTCTATGCCCCCTCCCCTCCCCCCGCCCGATCTCTCCCTCCAGCAATCACCAAGTGTGATTGGAAGGATTTAGCAAAGAAGACAAAAATAAATAAATAAATAAAGGAGCAGTATGCAAATATTTTACACAATTTATCATGTCTTATTTTCTACCCACTGTAGTGTTTAATCTTTATATTTCTACATTTTCATGACACAGTAGATATTTTTACAAAATGCAATTCTTTTATGTATACAAAAGAGTTTATATACATAAATCCTAATTATTTTTCTGTAAATGACTCGAGAAGCAAACATCCAAGGATGTTTCTGAAAGTATAATATTCCCCTTTACTAATAATATTTTTTTATTATACTTTTGTTTTCAAATTGGATGGTATTTGGGAATATATATATATCTTTATTGTATGTGGCAGGCTTCATATGACTAATGCTGGAGATGCAATTTTGGTCAGATGGATGCTTTTCCTGTATTCTCCTCATTACTTTTTAAAATGTCTGTTTTGTGCACGTGAGTGTGCTTGCATTTTATTCTGAAAAGAGGTAGAAAGAAGGTTCAATGAAAAACAAATGATTGATATTGTTTATACCACAGGAAGCCATATCTACTTTCTCTCATGATGTCACTTCCTACCTGAATTAAATTTGCTCTTACAAGTGGGTGATGGGAGAAAGACTCAAATCAAGGACTATGAGTTATACTCATCTCTCAAAACTTCCAATCTTCTGTCTCTGTTAGATTCTACCCCTGTGGCCATTGAATAGGGTACAGTAATACAGCAAAATATACTTTAGTCAGCAAAGAGCGTTTAAAGAACTTTCTTTCTAAATTTCAATAATTTTCTCTGAAGTTCAAGCCACAAGTTCTTCCCCATCTCCTCCTTCCTTTCTGTCTTTATTTTAGCCATACTTTTTTCCACTCTTCCTCCTCCCCTACCATCTTTAGTTGCTTTCCCATTTCTAGCTATCCTTCACCTAAGTTTTATCATAATGTTTGAAAAAAATTGAATATGAAGATATAGTATAGAATAAGAAAGTCCAAATGATTCAGAAGAAGAAATGCGACAAAACCAGAGAGAAATTAAAGAGACAATGAGAGAAAACACAAAAAGGAAAGGAAAAAAAAACAAAATAATGGTTTTCTCTTTTGTTCTTTTGCAGCTGAGACTAAATCATCATATGAGGGTGAGTGCCATGGACTCTTGAAAAATACGCTATTATCAAAGATATCTTGAATTAACACGTAGTGTGTGCAAGAAAATATACTGAAAATCAAAGAAACTCCAAAGCATACATTTCATGAAATCAATAGATTATTCAACATACTAACAGATAATAACATGTTTGAAATATTAAATTTTAGTGGTTTTATTTAACTTTACTTTTATTGTTGATACTATTACAGATTCCATATACTGTATAAGTGAAATCATATGGTATTTGTGTAATACTGCATGGCAGTAAAAAATAAAACCTCTTACCTTTTTCTGCAGCATGGATGGACCTAGAGATTATCATGCTAAGTGAAATAATCCAGCCAGAGAAAGACAAATAGCAGCTTTTTAAATTTATTATATGTCACATTATGCTTTAATAGGTAAAGGATGAAGAAACCATAGCAAAAAATATATATATTTGGTTAGAAAGGTAGTATACTTTATTTCTTTCCAGTTTCCTAAATAAGTTATAGACACTTATCAGATGCAAAGGACAGATGAAGAACATAAGGATGAGTCAGTTCTTCAAGTCAGATATAACTCAGTGGGCTGTGAAAAGAGGTGCAAGTACATGGACAAGTATTTCCATTGGTACTTTCACTCCTGAATTAAAGCTTCGGAATTCATACTCAGATATTCTGGGAGGACAGGAGCTTTATCTTTCAGGTGGTGGGTTTTCATGTTGATATGTTTCTTGCAGCTTGGAAGAAAGAAGGATCGAAAGCTGGTGAGTGTGTGTTGGTACAGAGGGACCCTGCTCCTTTGGAGGTGCTGTCAAGGGAAGATGAGTGGAGGAGCGCTGGGTCTGCCCAGAACCAGAGAAGCCCTCACAGAATGGGGACCC